TTTACTCATATCCGTTTTAATGGCCATAAAATTGAGTCTACATCTCTGTTTGGTTCTTAGAGCATGGAAGTTCTCTTGTGCTATCAGGATGTTGTCTATAATCAGTCGTTTTGCCACAAAAGCAGATTGTGTTTTTGAAATCAGTCGTGGAATCAGCCTCTTAAGTCTCTTACATAATAGCTTAGATATAATCTTATAGCTAACATTGCAGAGACTAACCGGTCTGAACCCAGACATGTCCCGAGGTTTCTTCTTCTTCGGAATAAGGCAAATTTTTGTCTGGTTTAGTAGTGGGTCAAATCTTCCGGTCACAAAAAAAAATTTGTACAAGTCGAATAATATCCTGCCTCATCTCACTCTAGAACTTCTGGAAAAGCTTACTCGTCATGCCATCCGGTCCTGGCGCTTTGTCCGGGTTTATCTCAAAAAGGGCTTTTTATTTCCTGTTCCGACGGTTTCTCCAAGAGTAACCTATTGTCCGTGTGAGAAACTTTTTCCGAAATATAACGGAGGGAGGTAGAGAAGAGGTCGCGAAAGTATTGAATAGCCACTCTCCCACTTCGATTTCACTCTCTACCAGCCTCCCATGTTTATCCTTAATGCTTATGATTCGATTATGAGCTCTGCGTTGTTTCGTGGTGGCATGGTGGAATTTCGTGTTTCTGTCCCCATGTTTGTGCCATTGATCTCTACTTTTTTGTTTCCAAAAAGTATTCTCTTCTTTAAACGCCAGGATCAACTGTCTCCTTAAAGCTTCCAGCTCTTCGGTAGTGACGTTGTCATCATCTTGAGCCACGTCAATTTTATTTTTTAGCTCTTCAATCACTACAGCAGAGTTTGTCGGGTTATTATTTTTCCAGGTACTAATCTTATTCTGGCATGAGGTAACTTTTTGATGAAAATTCCGGATTGGCATTTCATCAAATTGTCCCCACCCTGAGGTTACCGATTCCTTAAAGCTGGGTTTCCCTATCCACCGTTTATCAAATCTGAAGTTCTTCTTGGTTTTTTGGATGATGGATTGAATTCTCGTAAGGACTGGTCGATGGTCCGACCCCCATAGTTGTAGGTATTCCACGACACTATGATAGAATCGGGCGTGCCATTCCTCATTTGCCACTGCTCTGTCCAGTTTACATTTGACTTTCCCATTTTTCATCTTTCCCACCCATGAGAAAGAGTTTCCTTTATATGGGAAGTCGAGTATTCCACAGTTTCTAGCATGATCCAGAAGGGCAGGAAAGAACTTTCTAAGCGACGTCTTCCTCTCCTCTTCTCATGGTTTTCTGTGAGCTCATTAAATCACCAATCATGAACCATGCTCCACTTCGAGTCATACTAATGCGTGATAAGCGTTCCCAAACCAAGTCTCGATATCTAACATCAGGGTCGCCATACACAAAATTCATAAAAATCGGATGTCCTTCAAACCTAGTTTCAATATCGATCATATGTTCGTCTGCATATAAAATACAAACTGAGGGATCATCCATATAAAACAAAGCTAGACCTCCGCCTCGACCAACCGGGTCCACGGTACAAACATGGTCATATCCAAAAGGGACTTGCACATCTTGCAAAAAAATCCTGATTGTTTTTGGTCTCTAAGAGAAATAAAAACTTAGGTAAAAAACAATAGTACAATTCGTTAAGATGTTCCCTCGTCAAGCCAGCACTCGCCCCTTAACAATTCCACGCAATTGTATTCATCTTGGAATTTTTGGTGGCTTGTTAGATCCCACCTTTGCTGATTTGTTTTGGCTTTTTAAGGCTTCTTTTGATGTTTTTTTCTGGATCAGGAGGAGAAACCCGGCCCAAAGAGGGTGCAAGACTATGATTTGGCCCATTAGGAACTTTTGTTGAAGATGATGATTTTGGTGAAGCCCGGCCCAGTAGGAGATTTCTTTTCTTTAGGGAGAGGCCTGCAGCAATTGGGCTTGGAGTGCCCTTCTTCTTCGACGTCGATGAAGTCCCAACGTTTATCGGCGGCGTACGGAGGGGATGAGCTTTAACTCCCTGGTTTCCTGATTTCGAGCTCCCCCCATTATTTGTGGTCGCGATCTCTGGGCTACCCTTCCACCAGCTAGGGGTATCGTCGAAGCCTTTGCCTTCAGGGGTTCCAGGTCAAGGGCCTCCTCTTCAAAAGCCTCCTCTTCCAACAACAAATCATCCTCATCCATCAGGTCGTCTTCATTGAAATTCTCTTCATCTCCATCTTCCTCCCAATCTTCATCCTCCAAAATTTTCTGAGCCTCTGGGTCTTCCACCTCTGTAATCTGATCTTCCAGAGTTTTATCAGCAGTTCTACGAGTACTCCGATCTCGTGATTCCTCTTCTTCCACCGTTTGATCATACTAATTTTTATTGATTTTTGTGTCGTGAATCAGGAGAGGTGGAGGCAAGTCGCGTCTTGAGGAGGTAATGTTTCCGTCATCGAATTTAAGACTCTTCTTTGCTGAGCTTCCTGCATCTGATGAGTCTTCCAAGTCTGTAACTTTTCCTTTCAGCTTTAATTCCTTAGATGAGCTTTTTTGTGGTCTTTCCCTTATGTTCTCAGGAGAAAGCGAGATGTAGCGAGCTCCTTCTTCAGACACATTCGTGTCTATGTGCTTGGAGGTGATCCTAGGGGGCTCAAGAACACGGTCCAAGTTATGCTCTTTCAAAGGCATGACTTGGTTGCTTCCAGATTGGTGAGCATTCTCACCCCTTGTACGGGATAGGTCAGCTTTCCTCTCTGAGCGTTTTTCCTTTTCTCTTTGCTTGCTGGAGTTATAGGAGTCTTCATATCGTCGCTTGTTATAAGCTCCATACTCTTGACTTTTCTTATCATATGATGACTTATTCTGCTCATCGTTATCTCTATCTCTAGGATAGTGTTCAAGACGAGACTCAGGATGGTGTCCATCACGGGGCTTAAACCGGGGTTCCATGCGTTTCCACACACTGTCCCTGTTGTCCCTGTGAGAATCAACCATTTTATGTTTGTCTTGGTGAGCTCATACCTTCTCCGTAGTAGTAGCAGGGCGCCATGAAGGTTCGTCATTCCGAGGAATGTTCTTTCTCACTGGCTTCTCTTGGTCTCTATCAACTTCTCTTGACTTTTTAAATATTCTTCTTTGCTCTTCAGAAAGTTCCGGACATGTATCTGCTTCATGGGAGATATGTCGACAGTGAAGACACCATCGGAATTGACATACTCCAGTTTCACTGGAACAATTTCCCCAGATGGGATTTGAGCTCTCAAAGCAAACTTCAAAGGTAAATCAACATTGATTTGAACCTGAAACTTTGTTGTTTTCGCTTCAATGAGACCAACAGAACCTAGTCTATCTCCTAGAGTTCGAAAGATAGGCTCACGCTAGAAGTGGGTGGGAATGCCTATAGCACAAATCCAGAAGGTCATTGTATTCGGGAAGGTGTCCCCAACATGAGGAGCCCATCTTTCCAGCGAGAAGGACCATTTATTAAAATGGCAAGGTCTCTTGTTTAGGACCTTTTGGCAGATCCTCTTCGGACTCGAAGTCGAACTCTCCCCTCCACATCCCAAATGTTTGTCGTGGGAGGAGTGAGATTAGCGCTTCGACATTCCTTCAGTCACAGTTAAAAAGTCTCCCAACGAGACTGAGCTTAAACAGCGCTATAAGCTCAGAGTTGTCAACATTAGGTTAGATAACCAGGTCATCATCCTCTTCTTCTTGTTACTGGTTTGAACTTTGAGTTTTGTTGGTGTTAATTGTTGTCATGACTTAGAAACAAGAGTTAACCTTTAACAGGTTTGAAGGGCGGTGAGAGATCTGTGGATGATACTAGAGGGCCGTTGCAGGAACCCGCCTTCCTTTGTAGGAGTTGGGACCTTACAAAAGCGTAGAGTTGAAGTTGAAGACAGAAAAGAAAGAAATGGAACTTAATTTTATAACAGAAACCAAAACATTGCAAATGAGTGTATGTTATCTGCAAAAACGTAGTCCATTCTTTGTCTGATAACCAACAGCTTCCCAGGTCTTGTGCATGGAGATAAGGGTCATTGTTGGTTGTTGATGGTGAGCTCTTTTTGAAACAGGTAAAAACGGGAAAGAACTTGAAGGCGCCACCGAGAGAGACACTAGGGGAGTAAAGGCCCGTCTATCACCTTGCTAAGGAAGATAGGGGCGTCGGAAGCCACCGTCATGGCATAATTTCTGGCGAAATCCACCCAAGAACCCTCCGGATAAAGATTAGAATGGTAAGAATTTGAAAAAAGCTTTTGGTTTGCAGGTTTTTTTGGGTAAAAAGAGAAAATAAACATTGGGTAAAGAGGTGCTTGGGTTAGAAGTCAGTGGTTAAAGATTTCCATCGCTTAACGTATCTGAAAGAGAAATCTTGTTTAATTTTGTTTTCCTATATTTTCCTATATTTCCATGTTTACAAGAATTTTTACCCAATTGGTTTTCAGCTCATTTAGAGTGTTTTTTGATCAAAAACAAAAAGAGTGCTTTTTAACTGAGCGTGACCATAACATGTCTATAACAAATTGGAATGGGCTAACCCATGGACATTGAGAGCAATTAACAGCTATAACTTCGCCTAAACTAGCTTTCGACGTTCGTAAATGTTTTTTTTAGCGCCATCATAATGAAAATGCTTCTCTTATTTTCTGATCAATCTTTATTTGAATACAGAGGATATACTTATATAAGAGTGGAAAACCCAAGAAGAATATTGAAACGTCTTTAGGACCCCTACCTAAAACTATAAGTCGACTATAAGCATGCGAATATATTAGGTTCATTGATTACTTCATAGTTAAATTTAATTAAATTAAAAGAAGAATATTGAAACTCATTAACAAGATTTTCTTGAAAACTGTTGGAAGATATCATTTCCAAAGTCTTAGGACCATTGGCCTTCCGCTTTCTTTTAAATTAGACCGAAGTGATAGTGAGAGCTACACCAGATTTATTTTCTTCCTCTCTATAAATGACAAGTTGCTGATGAGCAATCTTATAGAAAGACGAAGGGTCATGGAGAAAAAGGAGAAATCAGCTCTGTTCGATAGAGTATTTTCTTGGTCTATCAAAGACATTCTCAACAGAGATCTCTTCAAGCATCAGGTTTTTGATCTCTTTCCACCCTTTCTTCAGTGTCTTTTATCTTTGTTACTTTTATATCATGTTCCTCATCAGTGGTGTAATTTTCAAACAGAGAAAGACAATACCAGACAGGTTTAGAACTGTCGATGAATACAAACAGTGTTTCGTTCCTCACCTACTCGAAGAAACTCGAACCGAGTTGTTCTCGAGCTTCAAATCTTTATCTAGAGCTCCTGTGTTTTTCGTACGTTCTATGGAGAGAAGGACAAGGGAATCCAGTTCATCGAACTCATTGCTCTACGATATAACATTAGCCCCTGCAGATAATTTTGGTGCCAAGTACGAGCCAAAATGTGGAGATCTTATTGCTCTGACAAAAGAAAGGCCAAGAAGAATTGATGACTTGAATCCTTTACATCTTGCTTACGTATTCAAGATGGACGGTGATCTTATCATCTCTGTGCATTCTTCTAGATCGATATCTCCTGTTGAGATACATTCAATTCGTTTTGGTGTTTCCCTCACGACTTTAACAACAAACACAAGAATTTGGAATGCTTTGCACAATGAAGCTGCTAACTCGACACTAATCCAGAGTGTGCTTCAGGGAAAAGCTCAGGTACGTTTGAAGAAACAATCTTCTGTAAAATTTATGTGTAGATTTTATAGATTTATGTTTATAGCTTTTATAGGTCTAGTATAAGAGACTTCAAACTAGGGATAATAACCTTAATAAATCACTAAGATTATAGATTATCTCTAATATATATATATATATATCACTATAATGTTGATATGGCATAGTTAACCTGATTAGGATGTGTTTTAAAACAATTTGAAGTGCTTTATTTCTGCTTATAGATTAATGGACTTTGTGTTTCAAAAATAAAGATTAATGTACTTTTTTTTTCTCTCTAAAACAGTGGTTTATTTTATGCTTCAATTGAGTGATAAGTTTTTTATATATTTATTTGTGTTACAGGCTACAGAACAGTGTGTTTGTTTTGGTAATGACAATGACGTTTCTGCCCGTGTTTTGGATATAATCCGGTCAACGAAATTGAACACTTCCCAAGAAGCTGCAATATTCAGCTGCCTCAAGACAAGTAACTGTAGTCACATGAACAGTATCAAACTGATATGGGGGCCTCCTGGTACAGGAAAAACAAAGACAGTTGCGACTCTTCTCTTTGCCCTTCTCAAGCTGCGGTGCAAAACAGTTGTGTGTGCTCCTACAAACACAGCTATTGTAGAAGTAACACAGAGACTATTGGCTTTGTTTAAGGAAAACTGCTCATCAGAAGTTGCTACTTACGGGCTGGGTAGTATTGCGTTATCTGGAAACCGAAAGAGAATGGGAATAGACAAGAAGGATGATCTTCTCAATGTGTTTCTTGATGAGCGCATTGGTAAACTTGGTCACCTGTTCTCGCCATCATCTTCTGGATGGGACCAGAGATTAGAGACGCTGATACATTTTCTTGGGAACACAGAGTCTCTTTACAATGACTATGTAGATCAATTTGAGGAGGAAGAAGAGATAGAGTTTACTTATGGAGAGTTTGTGAGAGAGGTTTTTAATGGGTTAAGCAAAGAGCTTGAGACGGATATGGTTGATCTGTACACTCATCTGCCAAAGCGTTTCATTCCACCAGAATTTGTCATGAAAATGTTGGCAGCTTGTAAAGCGCTTCAACGTGTCAGATACTTCTTGACGGAGAATGCTTCTAGAGATGATGATCTCAAGAAAGGAAGCTTTAAACTGGACTGCTTCAAGAGAATCATCACTGCTGATTGCCTTAAGGCTCTAGGTTTGCTACCAAAACGTTTTGAGGAGATTCCAGACATGTTGGAAACTGAAGATATCAAGAAATTTTGTCTACAAAACGCGGATATAATCTTCTGCACAGCCTCAGGTGCTGCTGAACTGAATGCAATAAGAACAGGAAATATAGAGCTTCTAGTGGTTGATGAAGCGGCTCAGCTTAAAGAATGTGAATCAGTTGCTGCGCTGCAGATTCCTGGTTTGCGTCACGCTGTTCTAATAGGAGATGAGTATCAGTTGCCTGCAATGGTTCATAACGAGGAATGCGAGAGGGCCAAGTTCGGAAGAAGCTTGTTTGAGAGGTTGGTTCTGCTTGGTCACAACAAGCACTTGCTTGACATTCAGTACCGTATGCATCCTTCTATTAGCCGTTTCCCAAACAAGGAGTTCTACGATGGGAGGATCACAGATGCTGATGTTGTTAAAGAAAGCATTTATCAGAAGAGGTTTCTTCAAGGGAACATGTTTGGTTCCTTTTCTTTTATCAACGTTGGTCGTGGAAAAGAAGAGTTCGGTGATGGACATAGCCCTAAGAACATGGTTGAAGTTGCTGTGATTGCTGAGATCATATCTAATCTCTTCAAAGGTATGTTGATTAGTAATTATGAATATATATGAATCTGTTTTATTTTTGTTTATTCTTACTATGCTTTGATCTCGTAACAGTTTCAAGTGAAAGAAGGATGAAGGTGAATGTTGGAGTGATTTCACCTTACAAAGGACAAGTCCGAGCAATCCAAGAGAGAGTCGGAGATAAGTACAGTTCCTTATCAGGTCAGCATTTGACTCTGAATGTCCGATCTGTAGATGGTTTCCAAGGAGGAGAAGAAGACATTATCATCATCTCGACCGTTAGAAGCAACGGTAACGGCAAAGTGGGGTTTCTTAGTAACCGTCAGAGAGCCAACGTGGCACTGACAAGAGCAAGGCATTGTTTGTGGGTAGTTGGTGTGAGCTTTAGTGACTTGGGCCAAACCTGGGCCACAAACTGATGGATTACAAGAAGAGTGATATTGGGCTCGGGTGCACAAAGGCCCAATCACTTACGTGAGATGCAAGACGGTGGAGCAGAGCTTATAAATACTAGTTATAGCTCCTAGGGTTTCTTACGGTTTTTTCTTGTTGTTGTTGGCTGCTGTTCTATCTTGNCTTGAACACCTGAGATCCTACAGAAGCAAAGAGAGATTCATTAGTGCTTGTAACTTCTATTTGATTCTAGTGAAGTTTGTGGGCAAGAGATCCCACACGAGACGTACCGAGCTTGAGGGCCGGGAACTCGTTAAATTGCTTGTGTCACTATTCAAATCTATCTATCTAGCTCAAATCGATCTTGCTAAAGTTCTTAACAAGTGGTATCAGAGCGCTGGTTAGAGCAAATTAGAAGGAGAGTCAAGGTTAATACTTATCTTCTGCAAAGAGTTAGGAGATCCGGATTGCACGGTTTGAGTTCTGAAGGCCCCTTGAATTGTTACCTGAAACGAAGAACAAGTTCAAAGACAAGTCAGATATGGAACCGGTGAAAGGAAAGTTTGAAGTTGAGAAATTTGATGGTAGAGGAGATTTTGGCTTATGGAAGCACAAGATCCTTTGTCAGCTGGAACTAATGGGACTCGACTCAGTTCTAACTGATGGTGAGGTGTCTACATCAGGTTTACCTAAGGCTGAAGATGAGGAGAATGAATCTGTTGATACGGATAATGAAAAGGAATCTAAGATAGATCCAAAGGCTGAGGAGAAGAACAAGAGGGTTAGAAGCTTGTTAACTATGAGCCTTGGGGATAAGATTCTTAGGAAAGTAATGAAAGAAAAGTCGGCTCTTGATATGTGGAAGGCTTTGGAGAGAAACTATCAAACCAAATCCTTGCCTAACCGAATCTATATGAAGCAGAAATTCTATAGTTTCAAGATGGAGGAAAGCAAGAGCTTAGATGAGAACTTGGATGTTTTCTTAAAGTTAGTCTCAGATCTAGCAAGCGTCCAGGTAAACATCTCAGAAGAAGATCAAGCAATCTTCTTGCTTAACAGTCTACCTAAGGCATATGAGCAGATGGCTCAATCTCTGAAATATGGAAAGGGAAGAGAAACTATCACTGTTGAAGAAGTAACTGAATCTGCATATTCTAAAGAAGTGGAGTTAAAAGAAGCAGGACAGTTGAACAAGACCAAGACAGCATCTGAAGGCCTATTCGTAGGACAAAGAGGAAGGTCTGAAAGGAGGTCTAACAGTGGCTATGCTAAAGGCAGATCTAAGAGTAGAGGAAAATCCCAGATGAAGTTTAAGAAAAAAGGATGTTTCGCATGCGGTAAAGACGGGCACTGGAAGAGAGATTGTCCAGATCGGCAGGGTCAGAAGATGGAGGACTCGGCTAATATTGTTACAGAATTCAAGGAACCTTTAATACTCACAGCAAGTACTCAACATGCTAAAGATGAATGGGTGCTGGACTCAGGAGCAAGCTTTCATATTACTCCAAACAAAGACTTGTTATTTGACTTGGAAGAGTTCAGAGGTGGAAAAGTATTAATGGGAAACAACACACATTGTGATGTTAAAGGCATGGGAAAAATAAAAATTCTGAAGCCGGATCGAACAACAGTTATTCTCACAGAAGTTAGGTATATGCCATCCATGAGTCGAAATTTGATCTCATATGGTTGTTTGGATAGAGCTGGATGCCATTACGAAGGAAAAGATGGAAGGATTCAGTTTTATAAAGGAGATCAGGAGGTGCTTGCTGGAAAATACAAGGATGGATTGTATTACTTGGAAGGAATAGTCACTAAGTCTGAAGCTATAACAGCGAAGCTCGAGACGGATTTGACAAAGGTATGGCACTCTAGGCTTGGTCACATGAGTCAGAAGAATATGGACGTTCTGGTTAAAGAAGGATACCTAACGAAGAAGGATATTCAGACTCTGAGCTTTTGTGAAAATTGTGTTTTTGGTAAAGCTCATAAACTCAGCTTTCCAAAAGGGAAACACACATCAAAGGAGACACTAGAGTATATACACTCGGATTTGTGGGGATCGCCATCGGTTACACCCAGCCTAGCAGGCTGTCAATACTTCATTACCTTCATTGACGACTATTCACGGAAGGTATGGATCTTTTTCTTGAAGACTAAGGATGGAGCGTTCCAGAGGTTCAAAGAATGGAAAATAAGTGTTGAGAATCAGACCAAGAAGAGTATTAAGTACTTGAGGACTGATAATGGGCTGGAGTATTGCAACTTACAATTCGACACTCTATGCAAGGAAGCTGGTATTAAGCGGCATAAGACATGCACCTATACACCACAACAAAATGGTGTATCCGAGAGAATGAATAGAACTATTATGGAGAAGGTTAGGTGTATGTTGTCTGAAAGTGGAATGGAGGAGAGATTTTGGGCTGAGGCTGCATCAACCGCAGTATATTTGATCAATAGATCACCAAATTCCTCAGTAAATTTCAGATTGCCTGAAGAAATCTGGTCTGGAGTTAAGCCTGACTTAAGTAATCTAAGGAGGTTCGGGTGTACAGCCTATGTACACATTACACAAAGCAAGACAAGTCCTAGAGCAGTAAAAGGCAGCTTTGTTGGTTTTCCTCAAGGAACAAAAGGGTTTAGAGTCTGGTTGCCTGAAGAAGAAAGATGCACAATAAGTCGAAACGTGATCTTTAATGAAGATGAGCTGTTCAAAGACCTGAAGGAGACGGCTCAAGAAAGTGGGGAACAAGATGAAGAAATTCCAGGAAAGAGGGTTAAACGAGTTACATTCAGTCCAGAATTAATTCAAGGGCCTTCAGGAAGTACTGTGAATGTAGAGAATACAGCTCAAAGTGGAGCAAGTTCCAATATTGAAGATACATCAGACTCTGAAACTAAAGAAAATGAGTCTCAAACGACTCAGGAAGAACAGGTTGACTTGGAAAACTACGTTTTGGCCAGGGACAGGGTGCGAAGAGAAATAAAGTTACCATCAAAGTTTGATGACTATGATTTGGTCGCATATGCTTTAGCTGCAGCGGAAGACCTAGATATTGATGAGCCAAAGACGATTCATGAGGCTAAGAGGTCTAAATATTGGAAGCAGTGGCTGAAAGCTATGGAAGAAGAAATGAATTCTCTTGACAAGACGGGTACGTGGCTGATCGTAGAGAAACCAGAACAAAAGAAGATCATTGGATGTAAGTGGGTGTTTAAGTTCAAAGAAGGAATACCAGGGGTTGAAGAACCAAGGTTTAAAGCCAGACTTGTTGCTCAAGGATTCTCACAAGTTGAAGGTATTGATTATACAGAGGTTTTTGCACCAGTAGTAAAACATGTTTCAATAAGAATCATGCTTTCATTGGTAGCAAACGAGGATTTTGAGCTTGAACAGCTTGATGTTAAGACTGCCTTCTTAAATGGAGAGTTGGAGGAAGAAATTTTCATGAGCCAGCCAGAGGGTTTCGTGAAGCAGGGGAAGGAAAAGAAAGTGTGTCTCTTAAAGAAGTCCTTGTACGGACTAAAACAGTCCCCTAGACAGTGGAATAAGAAGTTTGATGAATTTATGAAGACACAAGATTTCCGCAGAAGCTTATATGACCCGTGTGTCTACATAAAAGGATTAGATATTTCACAGATGGTCTACTTGCTTATCTATGTTGATGATATGCTAATTGCTTCCAAGGATTTATCTAAGATCAGAGAGCTGAAAGAAAGTTTGAAGAACAGATTCGAGATGAAAGACTTGGGAGCTGCAAGTAGAATCCTTGGGATGGATATCATCCGAGACAGAAATAAAGGTTGGATTAAGTTGTGTCAGAGAAATTATTTGGAACAAGTTCTAAGAACGTTTAACATGTCAGAAGCTAAGGCAGTGGTCACACCAACTGGAGCTCAGTATAAGCTGAGAAGTCTTAATGAAGAAGAGCTAAGAACAGAAAGAGAATTAATGAGTGAAATTCCGTATGCTAGCGCAGTTGGTTCTCTAATGTATGCAATGGTGGGATCAAGACCTGATTTGGGATATGCAGTGGGGTTAGTCAGCAGATATATGGGAAATCCAGGAAGAATTCACTGGGAAGCGGTGAAGTGGATTATGAAGTACATTACAGGAACATCGAGTTTTTGCTTAAATTTTACTAAGAGCTCTAACTTTAAAGTGGAGGGCTTTTGTGATGCTGATTATGCGAGTGATCTGGATAAGAGAAGATCAGTCACTGGATATGTGTTTCAGGTGGGAGGAAATACTATAAGCTGGAGGTCGGGCCTTCAACATATAGTTGCCTTATCAACTACAGAATCAGAATACATGGCTTTAACAGAGGCTGTTAAGGAAGCTATATGGTTGAAAGGATTTTGTGGTGATTTAGGATTTCAGCAAGAGAATGTTAAGGTATTTTGTGATTCACAGAGCGCTATACACTTGGCCAAAAATGGGGGATTCCATGAGAGGACCAAGCATATAGACACTCGGTTGCACTTCATACGAGATGTAATTGCTAAAGGAGATGTTACTATTGAAAAGATACACACTTCTAAGAATCCTGCAGATTTCCTGACAAAGAACTTACCAGGAAACAAGTTCCGGGAATGCCTGGAGCTTCTGAAAATCGCCTAAGAAGATTATAGTCCCTGCAGGTTCAGTTTTGTTGACGTTTGAGGACCTCGCAGACAAGGACATAAAGAAGAAATCGTCAGATCATAGGGTTGATCAGAAAGGCAAGACCAGAATGATTACAGAGTTAGTTCTGAATGTGGTTACCTTGAAGTGTGGACAGTGGAAGTAGCTCAGGTGGTTTTGCGGCTGTAACTGGACCAGTAAGCATATCAGAGGCAACATATACATGAGAACAAGAAAGTGAATTAGTTAAGTATTCATTCTTTGTGAAGTACTAAGACTAATCAAGGAGATTCAGGGATTCGCTATGGTCATTCTACACAACGGAAGCAGTTCATTCTATGTTTTGCTATCCTGGTAGATGAAATGTATAGCGATACCAGAAAGAGAATAAGTAAGTGGAGGTTGGACCTATAACGTTTACGAGATTCTCAAAGGAGTCAAAATGAAGAAAGGCAGGTGATACTTACGAAAAAAAAAAGGATGTGTTACCTGTCAGATTATCAATTGAAACTTGAAGGTCAGTCCCGGAGTTTTAGCTTGGGTGCGAGATTCTCTTGATGCATGCTACAAAAGGAGAGAAGTCTGATTTATTTCAAAACATGAAGGATCAGAAGCAGAAGCTAAGCAAGAATGTCGAAAAGGCAAGACATTAAAAGAGTCTTACCCGGACCGATTGGAATTGCAGACAGATATGATATGAAGGCGTAGAAGACGAGAAGCTATCTTTTGGTGCTTGAACTCAAGATTGAATTCATGCATGAAAGAAACAGGAAGATAGAAAGTCAGTTGTGAAAATCAGAAGGTATTAGAAGGTAATCGAACCGATTTTACCTGAGATTTGAAACAAGATCTACACTTGTGACTGAGAAGAAGTTGATTGATGAAAATTGAGCACACGCCGAAGGTGAAGCTTAGAGTTTCACTAGAACGCAGAGGAGAAGATCATAGGGCCGATGGGAGTTAATCAGAGAACGAAGCTGGTTATTGATTAATTCGGTTAGGAGTGATCAACAGAAGCCGAGAAATGAAGACTCTAGAAGCTGTCTGAAGATCGCGAGAGAAGGAGAAGTCGGTGATGAATTGTCACGATTAAGGTTTGGATCAAGTCAAAGTGGAGATTGTGAGCTTTAGTGACTTGGGCCAAACCTGGGCCACAAACTGATGGATTACAAGAAGAGTGATATTGGGCTCGGGTGCACAAAGGCCCAATCACTTACGTGAGATGCAAGACGGTGGAGCAGAGCTTATAAATACTAGTTATAGCTCCTAGGGTTTCTTACGGTTTTTTCTTGTTGTTGTTGGCTGCTGTTCTATCTTGNCTTGAACACCTGAGATCCTACAGAAGCAAAGAGAGATTCATTAGTGCTTGTAACTTCTATTTGATTCTAGTGAAGTTTGTGGGCAAGAGATCCCACACGAGACGTACCGAGCTTGAGGGCCGGGAACTCGTTAAATTGCTTGTGTCACTATTCAAATCTATCTATCTAGCTCAAATCGATCTTGCTAAAGTTCTTAACAGTTGGGAACGAGACGACTTTGGCTCTGAGTGGTTCGATTTGGGGGAAGCTGATAAGCGAGTCAAGGTCTCGTGGATGTTTCTTTGATGCTACTGATGAGAAGAATCTGAGAGATGCTATGAATGATGCTTTGCTGGAAGATGTGTCTTCGAGTTTTGGAGCTCTTTCGATTGGGAATAGGACGAGAAGAAGCGGTTGGTAGTTTTTTTTTTTTTTCAAAAATTGTCTCATTTTCTGTTTTGTTTTTTTTTTCATATGAAAACTCTGTCTTCGCTTTATGATTTTCTTATGGTATTTTCTATTTTGGTTCCAAATTTTACATATTAATTTTGAGCTTTATTTATGAGAAATTATTTAGAATGGCTCTAATCATTTTGTTTACTAATTACTAGAGTAACTCATATCTATACTATTATTTGCGAAGTGATTTTTTGCAACGGAGCTTTCACGTTAAAAGTTAGCGCGGTTAATATCTATTTTACCCTTAATGAATTTTTTATATATAACTAATTTTATCATTTAAAATGAAATTTAAAAAATAAAATTAGATTAGTATGTTATTATCTTAGATAACTGAGAATAATTAATATAATAAATTTATAAAAAAAAAAATCAAATCTAAGAAAAACGAATTTCAATTATTTTAGATTTATCTTTATCTAAAACTCTTTTATATTGGGTTATAAAGTCTATATTAACCTTGAAAAATAATTATATTGGTTAATATATAATTAATTATAAATTAAAAAACGAATTTTATTTATTTGATAATTATCCTTATTTTAAATTTTTTATATTATGTGATAAAGTCTTTATCAACCTTGAAAAATAATTATATTTATTAATATAAAATGAATTCTAAATTACAAAATGAAATGTCATGAATTTGATAATTATCCTTATCGAACTTTTTTATATTATGTTATAAAGTTTTTATTAACGTTGAAAAATAATTCTATTTGTTAATATAGTTAATTATGAAAAATCAATTCGCAAAGAATTTATGTATAGATAATTTATATTGTGTTATCCAAAACATTATTAAAGATAATTTTTATACATTTTTTTGTTATGTGTAAAAATGATATTAATTTATTACTAAATATTTTAAGTTTATGAGTATTTTCAAATATAAGTTGTGTAATGAAAATTATTTTTATGATGATGAAAAATTTTATATATAGAAAGAATATGTTTAGTTTTTGATTAAATATTTTGAGTCTATGAACAATAATTTATTATAATTTACATAAATTGATTATATATTTATTTATAGATATTAGTAAAATTATTAAGCCCGTAAGTGCGGGCAAACTACCTAGTTATTTTGTAATTCTACTAGATTAAAATCTAAAACAAGCAAATTTACCATGAACCCTTCCTCATTTTATCTCCAAGTTATATCACATTTTCTAGTTATTAGTGATTGTAGGTTATGGATTGCCTCAGAAGAAATCAAGATATAAACATTTTTTTTTTTTTTTTGTAGAAAATCAAGATATAAACATACTTTTCCAAACCAATATGAAATTTTGCTTCAGACGTTTGGATTTAATTATTTATATCCCTGTATCTTGGGCTTGGCTTGTGTTTTCAAAACCATCCTTGACTTTTGCTTCCAGATCTAGCTTGTCTCAGAGGTCTCAGTTTGAATCCTAGCTTTAAGTTAATACCACTATTGATCATATCATTCAAAACTGAGTAGCTCTTTCCGGTTATGCTTTTATTCTGGTGACATTGATGAAAAGAAATGAGTTGTATGTTATTCGGTGACAGTTCCTAGGGAACTTGAAGAACCTAAGAGGCTCACATGCTACACTTTCGATTGTATCATCGGAAAGGAACAGTAGCTGGAGAGCCATCTTCGGTAACTATAATTGTATCTGAATGTGAGTGAAGCCGCACTATTTGTTACAACTATAAAAAGGATAATTTAGACCATAAAAATATTTTAGTAATTTTTAAAAAATTTATAATAAATTTGCATCATTCTAGTAAACTTCCCATAACAATATTCTGAAAATACACTACCTACTAAAGTAAAATGAGAAAAATATTATTTGTTAGAGATATGTTCAGCTTACGGTAAAAGGTAGTATAAATCATTCAGCTTATTATCTATACTATTATTTAAGAAGTAAATTTGCTTAGTTGTCATGTTCTCCATAAGTTTAGGTAATTTTGTTTATTTATCATTTTTTCAATATTTTTATATATTTTATTTATAAATAAAACGAATTTATATGAATATATCATATTTTTAGTAAATAAGATAATTCTTGTGAATTATGTTGTTATCTTGAAATATATTTTTATATATAAAACTTAAATTTCAAATTAAGATATAAACACTATTATATTTATCTAAAACAAATTTATATTAATAATTTAATATTTAAATATAACTAAAACAAATTTATATTAATAATTTAATATTTTCTAAAATAAGATAATCATTATGGATTATGTTGTTATGTTGAAAATATATTTTCCTATTATAAAACTTAAAATTAAGATATAAAAATTATATTAAAATCCTAATTAAATATAAATAATCAAAAAAAATTATTTGAAAAGTGAATTTGTTGATTTGTCTCCATGATCCTAACTAATTTTGATCATTTATCAGAATTTCTATATTTTTTTCATTATAGATTATATATTAATAATATGATATTTTAGAAAATAATTTAATTCTTATGTATTATGTTGTTATCTTGAAAAAATATTTTTCTAATTATAAAATTTATAATTAACATGTAAAAAATCTATAATATTATTTAAGAAGTGAATTTGATGTTTGCTGATTTGTCATATTTTCCATGATTTTAGGTAATTTTAATAATTTATCAATTTATATAATTTTATATATAATTTATTATCTATTTGAAACAAATTTTATATTAATAGTATCAGATTCTTAGAAAATAAGATATTGCTTATATATTAAGTTGTTGTCTTGAATATATATTTTTCTATTAGAAATTTAAAATTATGATATAAAAAGTTGTAGTTATTCTATAATTGAAATAAATTTACACTAATCATATTATAATTTTAGAGAATATGGTAATTCTTATGTATTATGTTGTTATCCTGAAAATATATTTTTATATTATACAATTTAAAAGTAAAATAGAAAATTATAAATTATTAATTAAATATAAATCATCACTCAAGAAAAATTATTTAATATGTGAATTTGCTGATTCATTAAGTTTTCAATAATTTTAGGTAATTTTAATTATTTGTCATAATTTTTATAATCTTATATAATTATTATATAGTTAAAAAATTCTCATATTATATTTTTAGAAAATAAATAACTTATGCATTATATTGTTATCTTGAGAATATGTTTTTCTGATATAAAATTTAAAATTAAGATATAAATATTATAATTAAATATAAATCAAGAAAATAGTTATAGAAATATATTTTTTAAAATATTTGTGATGTTTGAGTTTTGTTATTGATAATTACTAGGTGTTTTGCCCGCTCATGCGGGCGTAAATATTTTATAACTATTTATCAATACATATATTACTAATTAAAAACTATAATGATAACTTATTGTTTATGTTTTTTGTTTTCAATTTATTACGTATTATAAATATTTTCAAGTTTTATTTGGAACATTATATTTGTTATTAATAAATAAATAAATTTTAGAAATCACTCAATATTTTTTAAAATTATAATTCTTACTTGATTACAAATTTTTATATTTTTATTTTTTTGATTATTTAAATTTATAACAACACAATGTATATATTATATAGTAATTATCTTTTTTACTTAAAATACTTTTTTATATATTGGATTATTTTTATTATTAATAATTTTAATAACTTCTCTAATCAAATAATTTTTTTAATTCTTTTGTATTTATTAATTTTTATATTAAAAGATATTTTAAGATAAGAACAGAATATATAGATGAATTATCTTTGTTATTTTAAAATATATTTTTTTTTGATTTTGGATAATTATTATTATCATTACTAATTTTAATCACTTATCTAATTAAGAGAATTAAATTTCGTTTTTTATTTTGTGATATTTTATACTTTTTTCATTAAGGGTATAAACGATATTAACCACACTAACTTTTAACGTGAGAGCTCCATTGAGAAAAATCACTTCACAAATAATAGTATAGATTATATTCTTTTAATAAATAATTTTGTATTATATTTTTTTCAATTTTCTCTTTTGAATTATAGAAAATTAAAAATTTTATTTTATGAATACTTATTTATGTGTTTTTTTTTGAATTTTTTTAATTAAATATATTTTTCGGATAACAACACAATATATATAAGAATTATCTTTTTCTTTTAAATATATATTTAGATTATGGATAATTCTTATCATTATTATAATTTAAATCATTTATCTAATCAAATAAGTATTAAATTATTTTTTATTTTTGGCTAATTTATATATTTTATTCATTAAGGGTATAATCGATATTAACCACTCCAACTTTTAATGTGAGAGCTCCGTTGCGAAAAATCACTTCGCAAATAATAGTATAGATTTGATGTTTGATTTTTACTTTTTGAAAACATAAAAAACAACTTATTATGCTGATTTTTAAATTAATGAAACATTAACTAATAAATATTCATAAGAGGATAATGCCCGCAAGTGCGGGCAAAATACCTAGTTTCTATATATTCACCTCTCATACCTGGTAGAAGGGATGCTTCTACTACGTCATATGACAAAGTAGTGTGATTAATACAAAAGGTATGGGCAACGTGGAAAAAGAAGTACTTTGTGAAGAGCTACAAGTCTTGAGAACAAAGCGATCGTTATAAGATTGACCAAGAAAAAAAAAAGCGATCATGATAAGAATAATATGGCTATTAAGCTGGTACTTGCATCTAACACTTGGAAAAAAATGTCAACATCATGCAACCACACACTAATTCTAAGATTCACATAATATGATATCGCAGCGATGCAGGTAAAAAGGTTACACACGGGATATGTTCATAGTTAGAAATCATATAAACTAAAGCATTAGGAAGCAGAGTATTTTATATAGTAACAGTATCTGAGAGATCCAAGTTCCACGTTATTATGAATGTGAAAACCTTATAAAGTAAGGCTGAATATTGTAAGAAGACAAAGTAGAGAAGATCAAGGTCACATGAAAGTGCAGAAGATGTGAAACTAGCTTGATAAAGCAGA